GGAGGGGGAGATAAGTGGAGTTGCCATCTATTGTGTAGGAGTCCAATCTGTTTCATGCTCTGGCAAATTTCTTTCCTTTCCTTCGGAAAGGACATGACAACAAACACAACTAACTACTTGATAGTTAGGTAACTTCTGGACATCAGCTATGGGTTCAACACTTAGTCGGCGTCGCGCATTTGTCCTATGGCTTACCATACCTGAAGGAAAAATATTATAATCAACTTTTCGACTTTTGCCCTTTTAAGCTTACATCTGAAAAAAAATCATCGCACATACATAAATTCGTTCTGCGCACTTATAAGCTGTTTCAGCAGGTGCATACGGGAATGCATGTATTCATCTTAAATATTTCATATTTTTTATTAGTTTTTCTTCAGCCTGACCTCAAAATATTCTAAACATGTTGAAATTTAAAAATTTGCTTTACTTTTCTGAAAAATTATAATTTAAATAGCCAATGGTCACTTTCATTTTACGCATGACCAGTATACTCGTCACGACACAAAATTATGCAACTTCTACATGACGAGTATATTCGTCACGATATAAAATCCTGCAACTTCTGCATGACGATTATATTCGCCACGATATAAAATCATGCAACTTCTACATGACGATTATATTCGACACGATATAAAATCCTACAACTTCTTCATGACGAGTATACTCGTCAATCACAGTTAACTGAGTAAATATGCAATAAGAAAATTATAAAATACAGAAAGATTAATTTTTATAAAACGAATAATAAAATCAGGAAGATTCAAATTTTTTATCAGAAAATATATTCTCACTGAGTGATAGATGGAATTTTTAAACTACATCTGATTTCGCACATAATTTCTAAGAAAAGGGCTTACAGTAAACTTTATTCCACAGATGTTGACCAGCTCGTCCTAATCCCTCACACAGATTAAACTACGTAAGAATTCTTCTTTCGGGCTTTAAAGAAACTCTTCACATAGCGTGCTCAAAGAAGCACGCAAATTTAACAATGCCAAACTCCAAAACATCCTCTGGATTCTCACAAAACGTTAACTCATTACCACGACCAGAGAGCGGAAAATTAATGACATACGTATGCAAATGCTTTTCGCCCGACTCATAAAACAAGCATTTCGTTTTCGAAACTGTAACGCGCAGCTACAGTTTCTCGAAATTCAATTTTTGGCAACTCTTTTCGCCTCGCAGCCCCCCTTTTGTTCCCGGTGTTGCCAGATCTGCATTGTTTCAGTTTTGTAAGCAGTCTTTTGTATTCCTTGCACCTCTGGACGGAATCCATCTTTTTGCCAGAAACAAACAAATAAACAAACAGGAGCTGAAATCTTTTCTGTGTGTGCGTATGTTTGAAAATAATTGCATTCAGTTCGCTGACAAGACAGATTTGGAGGAACAAGTCTGCTGTACCTGATCAGGTGTTGACTTTTGAAGATTTAGCGTATAATATCTATGAACCTATCCATCCGCGCAGGTTTAACCAGCTGCTTGATTGAGAAATGGATTCATTTTAATTACGGATTACATTTAAAAGTCAATACCTTCTATCCGTAAACATGTATTTTCAGTATTATACACTGGCGTAGCTAGCTCTGAAGGGCTCTGTATCAAAATTCCTTCGGGGCACTTTTTTAGATATGGGAGCTCTGTTTAGTTGGACTGTAGTTACACATGTTAGGACCCTTGTAGCTTGCGGGCCCCGTATCATTGATATGGAGGTAGCAATGCCCCTGGTATTGTATGTTGCACAGTTAATTTTTTTTTTGTGAGAAAACACATGTAGGTAGATATAATATCTTGAAAATACCTTTTCCTTTTTTTTCACTTTGTTTTTCGCTCGAGTCAAAATTGTGGACTAAAATAGTATTTAACCAACTACTGAAAAAATAAATAAAAGTGTGTGTGTGTTATCTCTTAAAAGGAATCCGAAAAATTTCGGAGATCAATTCTTCAGAAATTGATTTTCAGAAGAATTTATTTTAAAAAAACATAAATATAGGTTTTAAGAGTTATATTAAATAAATAACACGTCTCTCTCTCTCTCTCCCCTTCTTTTTTGAAAAAAAATATTAGTTTTATACAATTTTAGCAAAATCTTCGATGTTAAGAAAAACAGCATAAATAAAAATCCGTTGGACATAAAGTAATTTTTAATTTCATTGATATTCTTCTTGATCCATTAGAAGTGACACCAACCTCAGGATAAAAAAACATTTTAAGAAATAAATATTTTACACGCATTCAGATTTGACGTTCGTGATTTTTTGTCAAAATTATTTTATACTCTAAGCTAAAAAATTTTATACTCTAAGCTACTTTGAAACATGATTAAATGTCCCTATCTTAAAACCAGCTGTTTCTTATATTTTATAAGGTTTATTGCATAAGTGTTACAAATTTCATTAAATTTTGTTGGATTGTTTTGGAGATATCCCATTTTTCGTGCATAAGTTATCGTGACGATTTCATTCTTCAAAAAACACATTTCAAAAATATTTTTATTAGTTAGATAAAGGGAATATTAGAATATAACAACAAAATATTCTCCAGTTTCATATGTTATTCCTTCTTTTTCCTCGATACTTATTTTTACTTTGTTTTTATTGGTCGTAACGCCTAAACAATGCCTTTTCAACCTAATCGAATACCTTGGGAACATGGTGCGATTTTATAAAAAAATATTTGATGTAAACGTTTTTAAAACTTTTTTGTGGGCCCCTATGCATATGTATTATGTAAAACAGTCTTTGTACTCAAAATTCTACAAGAAGCTAACCTCTTAATTTGTTAAAGAAAAATTTAAACTATTTTGAAGTAGTTTTAAAATGCTTCTCCTCCAACATGGGCGTGTGTTTGAAAATATTTGTATAACAACAAACATGCAAACAGGAAATTTGATTTAGAAGTACGTTGAACTATGTATAAAAGAACTTGGTATAGGTTTTGTGTGATGACAAGATAGATATTCATAAAATACTTTTTTTTACGATTGTTTATTGAATGTTCCATAACAAATTTATAAATTCTAAATTCATCTATTTTTAAGTATATATATACAGTCGGACCTCTATATAACGGAAACGAAGTCACTAAATCCCAAATCCCGGAAAAAGTTCGTAATATGGAATATTCGTTATATAGAGGCTCATCTTTTAATATACTTTATAAACCACATAAAACAAATTTTAAATTCATCAACACTATATATTAAAAAAAAGTAATTATTCACACCTTTTTTAAGTTAATATATTTTTATTTTATTTATCTTACCCATCAAAAAAGAAAGAAAAATTGCAAGGAAAACAAGAAAAAAGGATGTCGCGAAGAATTCACTGCATTTTCAATATTAAGAAAATAATTTTATACTAAAATTAATGAATTTTAAGGACATTTTATTATTTAAAGCATACAAGTAATATTAAACATACAATATTTTATAATTAGAACACTGGACAACTCTACTGAGCTTAAAAGAGGATATCGAAGATGTTTCTAGTGACGGAGGTTAAAGGTTGCACTTCTTGGATGAAACGTCCAGAACTCTATTCCTCAAGGCAAGTTTGGATCCAGTTAAACCAGTTCAATAATTATGACCACCATAAAATGTGTTAAAGAAAGAATAACTTGAAATTTGTTCAGAAATACTTTAAGAAAAGGAAGAACAAAAATTGAATCACAAAAGAAAACGTTCGTTATATAGAAAATGCACTTCGCTATAGAGAGGTTATTTTACGAAGAAAATCGTGAAATGTTCAAGGTTCCAGGAAAAATTTCGCTATGTAGAAAAATTCGCAATACAGAGGTTCGTTATATAGAGGTTCGACTATATATATATATTGCTTTGATTAAAAAATGCATAACAACTTTTGTTAAATGTGTTAAAAGAAATAAAAGAAATATCTAAGCATTTGACACAATAGAAAAGAAGCCTTAGTAATTTAACTGAAGATAAACCATTTTTTTCTTTCTGAGGTTAATCAGTTTAAAATTTTAATTTTTCATTGGTATGGGAATAAAAACTAACAAAAGTTATTGTAACCCTGAGAATTTTTCACTTAGATCTTTGCAATTTTGTGAGGTTATTATAGTTAACACTATAAATATAAGTGATGTGAAACTATAAAAAAATTGATTTGATTTGTTTAACCGATTTTTGTCAATTGAATCGTACTGTGTCACCTTAAATAAAACATAACATTTTAAATTTGATAAAAAAAATAAAATAAACCGATGGTGATCACATGATAAATACATTCACATACTGTCCATTGAATTCAAAACTGATATTTGACTTGTACTTGTTTTGCTAGCAAAATCTAAACATAATTTCAAATTTGATAATTCGTTAAGATTCATGTATTGAAATTCTTCCAAATGATTTTTCAAAATTAAAACAAATATTTTCGTGTTAATACGTGTGCTTCAAAATCAAGTGCATTTTTTTATCTGTGTACCTTATTATTGTAGACAAATGTGTACTTTTTTAAAATAAAGTTTTGTGCAAGAAGCAAATATTGGCAATAGCGAATTACTTAAATTTATGAACCAATTGGCTGGGGGAGTGAATATTAACGTCTCACTGTTTAGCTACACGAGGGCTTTTGGCGACGGAACACATAATTTTGAACCATGGTCAAGTGACGTTACCAATTGGGGCTGGAAACACGTGATTGCAGTTGTGATGTGACTATGATCACATAAATGGGCTTAATTCATGTGATCACACATGAATTAATTCCATTCTTATTGTAAACAAGTAATATACAAAAGAAAAATTTTATTTTAGTTCCTTTTAATTAAATTTAATACAAATATGTATATACATATATAACAAAATCACATTGTTAAGTGACAAAATAGAAAGCGATTTTCCTTGCAATTTTTCATTTTCCTTTCTATATATGGACTATTTTTTGTCCTATTTATTCATTGATTATAAATTTAATTCTTCTAATAAAATAGTACAGGGAAAAAAATATCATTTTTCTCTGAAATTAGGCCATCCCAGGTGGGATTCGAACCCATGACCTGTAGATTAGAAGTCCAACGCGCTTTCCATTGCGCTACAGGGACACAACGAACAATTTTTCTTTCTATATATGCTGTTGGAGTATTATTTTTGTTTGTTACTATTTATTCATTTTTTAATTTATTGAATGAATTAATATTTGAAAGAACCGTATCAACATCAAGAGTCATTCACTCAAGTTTAAAAAATGCATTTGAATTTGAATGGATGAATATAAAGTATTTTATTAACGATTGCAAATTTGAACAAGACATATATAGGGAGAGAGTGAATGAATGCTAACGTCGCAATGTGTTCAGCTACACGAGGGCTTTTGGCAACGGATCACGTAATTTTGAACCGTGGTCAAGTGACGTGGACGACACCTGAGCTGGCACCTCCCTCTCCTAACTACCACGCCACATCAACGGGAGGACGTTTGAGATCTCGACAGATTTAACGTGCATCGCTGCCCTACACGGCGGGTCTTCAAAGATACTGGGCTCGAAATCATGACATGCCTGCCATGATCAGATACCTTGTCCACTGGGTTACCGCTGGGTAAATAGGAAGAGAGTGAACAAAAAGTATGATTTGAAAAAAAAGGCCATGGTAGCTGAATTATCCTGGTTATGACTGTTATAATCGAATCGTTGGTTCGTGTCCTGATGTTATTTAAGATACGTCATGTGTAGGGGGATCTATCGAGGTTCAAAACATGAAGTGATTATTGACGTCAATGTGTTCATCGAGGTTCAAAATCTTCGCGTTGGTGAGTGTGGCCCTACACGGCGGGTCTTTAGTGGTGGGCTCGAATGAGCCGTGGAGTGAGATTCCTTCCCACGTGTCATCCTCGTCACGTGGCTGTTTTTCAAAATATCGAGCTCCGCCGCTAGTAGTCTGTTTATTTCGAAGTGCGAAGCTAATGAACAATCAACTGGTCTTAAGAGGACTTGGTACCCTAAAAATCACAAACCTATCGTTTTTTTATTTTCATTTAATCTTATTCTTTGCATTATTATCTTTCGATTGATATATCACTTGTGCATGTCGGAAAGTTAGAAGTTGAATAAAACTTCATTTGAAAACAAATTAGGCAATTCAGCCACACCCCCTTTTTAGAAAAATAGCTAAAAAATGCGTTATGATAAAAAAAAAATCTATTTTATAAATAGAAATAATAACTATAAAGAAGAATGTGTAGTATTAAAAGCAGAATATTTCCGAGGCAATACAATAATGTAATTTTTCTTCCTTGTGAAATGTGTGCATATAAAATTTTTAAATTAAGGCATTTTATATTAATAATTTTATATAATTTCAGTTCTTATTCCTGATATATGTTTCATACAAATGTAATACTTTAATATTATATGTAGAAAAACAGCTAAAATTTCTGTCGTGACAGAAAAAAATTTTTTTTTAACATTTTTCTTGAATTTTCATGGTCAATTAGTACTCTCTAAAAGTTGATCATTTATAAAAATGTGTGGGTTGAAAACATATGAAAATGCAATTATTTTAAAGAAAAACGTATAAGTAATATCTTAAAGTGGTATTTTAAGTTTAATTAAGCTTATAATAATTATTTTTTCAGAATTATAAACTTTAAAGTGGTTTTTCTCAGTTTGTGTTTTTCGAAACCTTAGTGCATTCAAAATGCTACTCCTTCGACAATTATTTACCAATCACTTCAATTTTTTTTCCTGCTTGTTAAAAATAAAGCATGTAATAAAATTAGGGATCCGTTTTGCTATAAACTGAATACTTTTTAAAAAAAAAAAATAAAATGTAAGACATGTTGGCTTTTTCGTTGATTTTTAGCCTGTATATCAACGTTTTATTTTTTTTCTCCAAAACAAATGAAGTTATTCTAAAATCGATCCCCAAAGTTGTTTAGATCATCCATAAGAGTATTATAAAAATTTCAGGTCAAAAAATTAATTTTTACAAAAGGAGTAGGATTTTAAAATTTTCCCAATTTTCTTCAAAAAATTTAAATTTTTAAAATTGTGTGAATAATATATGAAAATTTTCATCTGGTAACATTTTCTTGAATAGAAACATTGTATAAAATGTTAAAATATAATTTTTAAATACGTAAATAAAGAAGTTTGCTCAAAGGGTGCCAAGTCCCCTTAAGGTGCAATTTCGGAAATACGTCGTATTCTGGAGGTAAAATAATTTCTTAAAAACGGTCTAGAAATTTATGTTTAAAAAAGAGTTATCCTTGATAATTTGATAATGTTCTATAAAAAGCAAACTGGGAAATGTAGTTTTTCAATGAATATCAATGCATTTCGTAATAAAAAAAAAGTACGCGATAGTAAAAAGTGCTTAAAATAAAAAAGAATCATAATAAATAATTGTAAATGAAAAAATATGTAGGAAGTGCGAAATAAGGAAGAGAGTTCATTTTTAAAATTGATGGGGAAATGTATGTTATATATATATATATATATATATATATATATATATATATATATATATATATATATAAATAAATAATAAAGGATTTTTTTAGTCGTACATCTTTCTCATTGCTAGCGGGGGCCGCGGTAGCAGTGGTTGGTTAAGGGTCATGAGTTCGAGGAACGATGCACGTTAAATCTGTCGAGAGCTCAAACGTCCTCCCGCTGGTGTGGTGTGGTAGTTAAGAGAAGGGGATGCCAGCTAAGGTATTGAACACTTAACTTGACCATGGTTCAAAATTACGTGGTCCGTCGCAAAAAGCCCTCGTGTAGCTGAACAGTACGATCTTAATATTCACTCATTCACATTGCTGGCATTATATTCCTCCTAATTTAGTAACCACTTATCCGGTACAGTGGTTAGTGACGCTGATTGCTGTCCTGTGTTCGAATCCCAGAGCATGCATGGATGCTTGAAAATATATAATCCCCTTGCGGCAGGGAAGTATTCCAAATAACCGTCGAGCCGCAAATTGTCTCGATAAGGTTAGTGGAAAGGGAAGAAAGGTGAGAGGCCCCTGACCGTCCTCAGGGTTTTCTCTCTTAAAATTGGGATGGAACCGAGCTAAATCGTATTGTCACCTGTATGGTGCTCAAAGTTGCGGCCAACGACAGGCGTACATCTAGCCCTTTGCGGAGATGAATTTCTTGGACCTCGATCTGACACCGTCAAACAGGAGACATTAACAACAGCTCTTTTGAAACATCCTTTAAAATTAGGAAATGATTTCTTATTCTAAATCGAACTTTTATAGTATTGAAATAAAACAATATTCCGTAAAAAACGAGCATTTTGCTTTGTGTGTTGCAAGTTGGTGTATTTCGCGTTGGCCTAGTTCTGCGTTTGGCGCGAATCTTACTTCTTGTAGACACCAGGGCGTGGTAGCCAAGTGGCCATGGTCAAGAGCTCGTAGCCAGTGGGTCAGGAGTGTCCTTGAAGATAGAGGGCCTGATGCACGCTAAATACGTCGATACTCGAAGTCCTCCTGTTGGTGTGGTGTGGAAGTTTTGAGAGGGTTCGAGCTTAGATGTCATCCTCATCATTTGACCGCGGCGCAAAAGTTCGAGGACCATCTTCCTCTAATAGCCCTGTGGCTTCTTTGTAGTGCGATGCAAATAAATGCTCTTTTGCTCAGTCGCAAAACCTTGAGACTGTGACCGAATCGATCACTGTTGGATCAAAATTACGAGGTCCGTCACCAATAGCCCTTGTGTTGCTTTAAAGTACAACGTTAATAGATTTTTACTTCCCTCAGTTGGCATAGTTCTGTGTTTGGCGCGGAGCAAGTGACTCTTATTTCACATAACCCCCTAGGAGTGATCTTATCGAAAATATTAGTGGATAAGTGTTTGATCGTTCTTTTGTCGCTTCTTTAGAAATATATCATATTAGTCCTGTACCATAGTGTACCATTTACTGCATTGCATATTGGTACATAAATTTTTGTTGTGTAAATAAACTTTTAATTGTCGAATGTTACCAAACCATAGAGTCTAAGTATCCTAATTAATTTTTTATTACATTTGATTCTATCCAATATAAATTACTACAAGAGTAAGTAAATAATAATAATTTAAACTATTTTGTAGAACAGATTTATTGCACTTGAAAAATTATTTTTGTGTCCATATTTTCATGCATTTGAGTTTTTAAACTGTAATATTTTTAAAGTAAAAAGAAGTCTTAAAAGTTTTATAAACAAAATTGAAATTCTCACGATTTTTTCAGGTAATTGCGATTACATTTGATTTTTTAATACCTGCTGTGGTCGTAGTTCAGGTCTGTATTACTCTTTGAAAAATTTTAAAAACAATATACTATTCCAAGATATTTAATTTCCATTGGCTACAAATGAAATTTGGAGAATTCTGTTATTATCTCGTTCCAATTATGAAACAATTCCTTATTCAGTGTTGATTCACAGTTTAGGAATCAGGATAATTATTTTATTATATATATTTATATACAATTCAAATGTTTATTACGAGTAATATATACAGGGTGTTCTGAAACTCAACGGCAAGCGGGCACGAGGTGAAGGAGGTACAGATTCATATCTGTGTGCCGGGAAAAATAAAAAAAAAATCCAAATCACTTGGTTAAGTGATGACTTGCATATATTTTTGAACTGTGGGAAATTGACACTTGTCATTACATCGTTATAAACTGTGATCATACATTTCGCATTGATTTCTTCACTGACATCGTCTTATTTAGCCGTACTATTTATTAAAGTCACAAGTTAAGCAAAAACCTTTGCTAGTTTTGTTAAGATTAACGTAGTTTGAGTCGGTTTGAGAAGATAATATCGGAAGATTAACGTAGATTGAGTCGGTTTGGAAGATAATGTTGGAAGATTAACGTAGTCTGAGTCGGTTTGAGAAGATAATGTCGAAAGATTAACGTAAATTGAGTCGGTTTGAGAAGATAATGTCGGAAGATTAACGTAAATTGAGTCGGTTTTGGAAGATAATGTCGGAAGATTAACACAGTTTAAGAAGATAATGTCGCTTTTAGAAGATAATGTCGGAAGATAAATGTAGTTTGAGTTGGTTTGAGAAGATAATGTCGGATAGCTTTGACTCTCGAAAAA